GTTGTGAAAGAAATTGGAGTGTCTTTGAACTTGTAAGTCATCTTAACAACCTTGACTTAATGATTAGGATCACCTCAATAGGTCGTATGTAACTAATAATCTTTTCTTATACCTGCTTCATACGAAAAGAAGAAATAGATTAGCCCAAGAAAGATTGAACGACATGGTTTTTGTGAAGTACAATCGTGCTTTACAACGTCGACACGACAAAAAGGATGTCACATATCCTATTTTCTTGAATGAAATTGATGAAAGTAATAAGTGGTTAACTGGAAAAATGGATGGGCACTCATCCTGTGATGACGTTGATGATCTTGTGTTTGAAAATGATGACTTGATTTGGAATGTGTGAGCCAAGCTTCAGAAGCTGAAGACCCTAGCTATTTTACTAGAAGAACCGAAGGTTCAAGTTCAAAAGAGAGAGGAATTGCTCAAGTTGAGAAGGGAAAGGGAACTCGACAAGCTCCTCATACTTCCCAACGATATGGTCCAGCGCCTACTATTTTGATTTTGATTGATGAAGATGATGACAATGATGATGAGATAGAAGAGGATCTAGGTGAAGAAGAGTTCAGTTTGGAGGAGGACATGGAGTACATTGATTCTGATGAATGATGATTAATCATACTCTTAGACTTTAACTTTATTTGGATTTAGTATTTTGGTTTTAGTTTTTAGCATTATTAGCATTGGTTTTTTCAATAACTATGTTTTGGTGTTTAGAATTTGAATATGTGGATCGAGTGTATAAGCGCTATAGCGCATAGCGCAAGGCTCAGTCTATATCGCCTTCATGCGCTATGTGCCATTTAAAACCTAGTGCTCAATCACCAAAAGCTTACACAACCGAGGAGTACCTCAAGATCAACAGCTGTTTGATTCTTCTTTTACATGATTGAGCATTGGACCATAGGAATCATATACTAGCATTTGTGGGACTGGCTGCTCATAGCTAACCAAGGGTTACTGTGCTATGCAGCAACGCGGTGTAATGGACTTGTCATCGACCTGTGGCTTCTTCTGCGGTTTTACTTCTTCAAGAGCCTATGAAGTGGCATAGCATGCTTTCTTTACGAAGATCCTGAAGCTGCTTGACCAAGTAAGAACCAAGCACCACCTATTCCATTTCGTCACAGAGAAAGTATCTAGTATATATCTATCTTTGTGTTTTGAAATTTTGATTCTTTTGTGTTCGGTTCTTTGAGCAAGATCAAGAGTTTCTCGGCAGGGTAGAGAACAAATGACAAATCACATAAACAAGGATTTTATAACTACAAACAAAAAGAATCGAATGGTCAAAAACGTGGTGGATAGGCCTCGTGAGATCATCATTGCTTTGACTCGTCACTATAATAATGCTTATCAGGACAGCAATAAATGTGTAAGCTCCATTTCAAGAATATCTGTAAAAATATTCTGTCTTTTAACATGATATGAGTGTTGGTTGAGTATCTAAATTTTGTTTCTTTCGACAGGTTCTTGGGGCATTTCCAAGCTCAGTTAGAGAGCCCAGCAATATGGGAGTTAGATCCTGACCAGCACAACATCGGAAGAACTAGTTCTAACTTAGATATTGAAAATATAAGGTTGCCACGGAGAAATTAGCTTCTGAAACTTGCCAGAACCACCCAACAGAATCTCCAGCCGCAGTTGTATCAGATCAAGACCCGAAGGTCAGTGCCGAACCATCCATGCCACAAGAGAATTCAGCTTACCAGAGAGAGAAAACAGCGTCTCAGCCTCCTTCGTTGTCATCTGACTATGATTCACAAACCGAGAAGGAAGCAGCACCAAGTGTCCAAAACTCTTTACAAAAGGTCCCAGGAGTATCACAGGAAGGCAAAGGATCAGATAGTTTAGATGATAGACATCAGGAACAGCCTTCAGATCGCGAGTCTGATAAGTCAGATTCGATAAAAGAAGCCAATGATGCCTGATGTTCTTGAGCATTTACCGGGGATCAGTTCACCAGCAGCTGTCATCATCTCTTACCTTTAAATCTAGATGATAAAACTATACATCTCAACATTGGAGCTGTCAGCTACGGAGGAACTTGCCAGAATTGCAATGATGCAAGTGAAGAAGATGATGGTTTTAAATATAACATGCGTTTTACTTGCGTAATTACTGTGCCCACGGGAGAGAGCGGAGTTCGTTGCTTTACTCTCTACTGTTCTTTAAAGTTCTGGGGACTAATGGCTAAACTTGGGAAGCTAACAAAGCTCAAGTCGGTCATGAATAAATGGCCTTCCTTCACCAAGAACCACCACTCAACCACCGTGTCCACCGCCCTCTCCGAGGTCTCAAAATGCGACGACCTTCAAATGGTTTACGTCGGGAAGTCTCGACGACCTTACATGCTTATTTCACACGTCATCGACCATCCGCTTTTCCAGGAACTACCTGATCGATCTTCGAGATTCATTGAAGAACGGCACGATCAAAAGACAGTCGTAGTAGCTTGTGAGGTCATATTGTTCGAGCACTTGTTATGGATGCTCAAAAACAGTTGCGATGATCGCGAAAGAGGATCCGTCGAGGAGTTGGCTGAGTTCTACACTTATTAACGACGATGTATACTTATTTTTCTTGTATATATATTGATTGATAATTTTGATTTGATTCAACATGATCCAATGCGGTCACGAAACATTTCATTTGCTTTTTTTTTTTTTTTTCGTCGAGCAATTTTTTTTTTTTTAAGTTTTGGTACTCTTAGTTAACAAGGACATCTTCCCTTGATAAATAAAATTACAAATTATAGTTCATGATAAAATTGCATGCACGGTCCTACTTGCCTTTCTAGTGGCAGAAATTATTGTCACCGAATAAGTAATTCAAACTAATAATAAAACAAACATACTGTAATATACTTAGTCTAAAATAACCTTATTATTGTATGTCCGAGTTTCACTAGCTCTGTTCTTTTGTTTATCGCTGCGTCTGCGGCAATGAAAGAGAAAATTTTTAAGTTGCGTTAAGATTGCGTCAAGATGGAGATCACAATTGCCGTTGAAGATGACCGCTGGCATTGCCGCCGGTGTTGTTAATAAGACGCTGGAATTTTCTGGCGACACTTTTCGATGATGCAGTCATTCCGGCGGCATCTTTTTCTTTGATCAACAACTCCATTAGTGTTGTTTAGCTTCCCTACTTATTATTATTGTCGTCGTTTTGCTTGGTCGCAGCCGCTGCATCTGCGGCAAAGAAAAGAACAGGGCTAATGTATTATATATGCCCCAAATGTAATTGGGCGGCGAAGTGCTAGTTAGACCGAGATCTAGGCGCCAGACAGAAGGATACGACTGTACATTTCTGATTTTAGTGCGTTTGAGTTCAATTCTTACTACGAATCAAGTGGCTTTGTTTTAGTCTTTAAAGAGCATTTGAATTTTGGGCCATGTACTTAAATCATAGTGAAAGAGTTTACAGAAATTCCTGCCAAAAAACATGTTCATTTCTGGATATATTAAACTTACCCCTAATTTTGGTGTTAAGAAGATATCCAATATTAATCATGAAAAATGTTTTTTTTTTTTTTTTTGACGGCATGTCATTAGCTAAGCTAGGTATATATATATTAGACTCCGAACTGTTACCATATTTATATTTACGAGAGAGTGTTATGTATTTATGTTTTCTCCCGTTCTTCCACTCGATCATCATAATAAATAAACTATATATTTTATTTTCTATTAAAATCTATAATATTTTATATTTGATTTATTATTATTTTTTATTATTAAATATTTATAATTTTATTATTATATAATTAATAATATACTAATAAAACATTTTCAATATTTTATTAATAGGAAATTGGGTCATATGACTATATTAATAAGTTAAATTCTTCATCTAACCATAATAAAATAGGTGCTATGATATTCTCTGTATATTATACAATATATACAAAAATATCCCTCATCTTTCTCGTCATCTTCCCCTCCACTTTTTTCATCGCCCCACTTTCTCCTTTCTCTTCCCTTCTTCTTCCCCTCTATTCCCCTCTTTTTCCCTACCCTCATCTCCTATTCTCTCTCGTCTTCTTCTCTCTCTTCTTCGTTCATCTCTTCCCTTCTTCTCCTCTTCTATTTTTTTGTAAATACTATATCAAACGATATTATTCTATAAAATTGAGATATAATATAGTATCTATTATAGTATAGTAAAAGAATATTTTTGACAATTGATAGTGGACCATGGTTAGTTTGTAAATTATCCAAACACTATGACTATATTCTTTATTTCAACTTTCAATATAGTTATATATGCAAAATGCTCTTTATTAATCATAATTGAACATATCAAATGTTTTATACCCTGAACATGGTGCAGGCCGATAAAGACTATGCATAGGTTCTTTAACGAAACAAAGTTAATATATTGAGTTAAAAAACTATAAACTAAAACCTAATTTATTATTGTTCAAAAAATAAAACCTAACTTATTGTGGTGAGTTAATGAACTTTTATAACCTATAACGAAAGAGAGTTAATATATTGAGTTAAATTTCTCTAACAACTATGGTTGACCAATAATAAGGGCAACTTCATTGAGGCACCTCATTATTAAAATAAGTAAAAGAATTTATAAATAAAAGAAAAAGAAAGATATTTAGAAAGTTCTTGTTTAAGATACCAACAAAAAATTATAAAGTATTTTTCAATTGTTTAACATTTTCTAAGTGCTTGAAGTTCTTTGTTAAGTTCAAATTTAATATTTTAAAATAACTAATATTATATGGTTTGAGATACTTTTTGGAGCATCTAAACCATTAGACATGCTGTAATAATATGGAATAGCCAATTTAGTTTAAGAATTTGACCGCACATCACTCACATTCTATCTTACTTTTACATTTTTTTCTAGTAAAAAAATACTGTGGCAAATCCTTATTTATTCCGTTCTTTAATCTGATTGTCTGTCTTTAATATATAGTATCTCTGAAACTATGTGGATTTTTCATTATTAATACAGTCTTCATCTTCTGTGTGCAGTCAACTATAAGGCTTCCTTCATCAAAAAAACATCTCTGCAACAGTAACGGAGAATGCTCATCACTCATCAGCAAGAGACGTACATTAAAAATCTTGAGGCTAAAAATGGAGAATACATGATATCATCAAGCTACGACACCACATTGTCATCTATGAAAGAATTGGACTGAGTAAAGGATGAACGCACATTAAAAAGATCAGTTCACTTGCTGAGCTTATTAGTCATCAATTAAGCCAAAGCCAAAATTTTTGTAAAGACTCTGTACCTATGGGAAGAACTACATGCTGAAAGGCACAGATCACCGATTCCACCGCAACTCCATGGAACCTTCAGCACCATTTGTACCCACCACCTAATACAAACTCAAAGCTTAGCTATTTTGAAAAAAGGGTAGTAGCTTCTACTGTATTGTGGTATTTTAGGAACAGCAAATTAAAAAGTGATACTTAATTACAGTTAGCATAATTCGCATTAGCAGATGTACATTCATATATTATATGTATAGTTTCTAGTCTCCAAAGCTGAGTGTAGTCGAGTAGACTCACCGAGTTTTCTAAATTTATATGTATAGTTGACAACAAAAATATTGAGTGATATATATATAACATCCACAACAACACACCCGTATAAAATAAGAGAGATACACCGGAAAAAGGGTAAAGATGTAGATATGTGAGCTCTCTCTCTTTTTCATACCTCTATCATCATCTATATATATACATGCATATATGTATACACGTACAATTGTGTATGTGTTAATGATCACACTCGTGTGAACAAAGAAGCATAGTAATACATTTCCCAATAATGTAGAACTTTCCTTTCTTCTTTTTCAGAAACTCCCCAACTCCTTTCGGTGAAGAACACTTCTTCTTCTTCTTCTTCTCCCAATTCTTCACTGCCTCCTCCTTTGACATAACCCTCATTGTTTATTGTGTACGTGTGTATATATAATAAGTTTTTTTTTTGTCTTTGTTATTATGGGGTTCAAGCGTTCAGTGTAAATCGATAATTATGAGATGTTTTAAGGGTTGTTTAAAAGGAAGCGAAGGTTCATCATTATATTGGAGCGAGAGAGAAAGAGATAAGGAGAAAGTATTCCCCACCGATTGATTCGGGACCATTCAACAAAACAACCCAAAAACAAAGGCCAGTTGTGGAATGTGACCGAGTAGCTTCCCATTATGGTTGAAAATATTTGATGTATTGTTTTCTTGTCTCCTTTCAGTTCAAAGATTCATCATCGGTAGAGATATTTGTGATGGATTTACCTGTAGTATAGTATGATTGGGTTATGTTAAAACATATGATTATACGGACCGTCGAATCTTGATTTTTTAAGTTAAATTGGTCATGCAAACTAAACTATGGTTACCTATAGATTTTAAGAAATGACCGATTTGTTCTGAGTTCGAGTTTGTTTTACGTTTAAATTATCATGCATGGTTATATAATTTCATTAAGCTACGTAATTTTCAAAAGAAACGTACCCATTCTACTGACTCCAGCCATTATGGTATTTGGCATTTAATATGCGGTCATCTAATAATTCAAATCGATGAGGAATTAAGGTATAATCACTCTTTTTGTTTGTTTGTTAAAGGGTCAAGTCAGTCTTCCTTAACAATATGGACAGCTCATTTCGAGTAAATCGACAGGGACCTCAAAGCATAATCCTCATCATCGTAAGCCTTCGTAGTTGACGGCAATAATGAATGTGAATTGAAAAGTCGTAGTTTATATATATTTAGTATAGTTTACTTTCTCTCCGCGAACATTATATAGCTTAAGAGTTTTCCTTTTTTTGGTGTGAGGTGATTGATATTGTTAAGATGTTAAATTTTGTTCGGTGCTTGGCCTATGGCCAAAAAAAAAAAGAATCTCCGTACATTTTATACATGATCATTTTTTGAATATTCGCCGCACATATTTATATCTCGTTTCCTTCTTTTGACGCCAACTGAATACATTTGTTTTACATGAACTATACAAAAATATTTTCCATGTGAAACATTTTGCGATTCTATCTTTTATATTTTTAAGTTAAGAATTTGGTGATTCTACTTTGAAAACGTGTATTGATTGAATCCAGGACTCTAGCTAATGGGGAAAAAAAAAAGAGAAACTAGAGCTTTGACAAATATTTATCAATTCGTTCAGACAAGACAACAAAACATAAAATAATCTTGAATTAAGAGGTTGATTAGGCTCACAGGCTTCTAAAAAATAGATATGAGAACGGCCACACAAAAGTACCGGTTTCTAATTGTGTAATTTAGTACTTCAAATTGTCACAAAAATTAGGAGTTTACATTCATAAAGCCGGATAGAAGACATTGTTTCAGTTTTAACGTTTGAAGAATGATAATCTACGTTTTGTAAAATTGTGTTTAGCTATTATAAATAGAAGACAAAGAAAAAAGAGAATCAAAATTTTAGTGGTTTCATTTTTCCAGAAAAGTGTGAAATACATTAGGAGACTTTATATATTTTCAAGCGTAAGAAGTGAAATGTCGAATATCCATCACATCTTTTTGTTTTTCATCACACGAAAGGGCAATGTGTAGGGGATGCACCGTGCACGTGAAGTTCACGAAGACAAGACATCCCTTGCCTGTTGGCTGTTGCACTCAAATACAACCTTTGTGAGATTGTGATGGACCTTTTTTCCTCTATACTTATTTTGTCTTCGTTCCATTTGCATTTCATGAAATAATTAGACCATGTTCAACGCAAGAAAGGGTAAGATACGTTTATTAAGTATATTATATAATTATAATATAATAATATAAATAAATTTTAAATATAAAAAAAAGTAAACCAATTACATAGTGACACCTATTAAAAAAAGTTTTAGATCCAGATCTTAATTAAGCGTTGCAACAATCGTTGCGTTGCATATGCTCTTATATCTGTAGGGACATATCCCTTCACTGGCTTTATCTTCTCTGTTTTCTCATGCAACCTTATATAAAGTCATAAACCCATGATACCCATCAACCTCGCATTTTCCTTATTTTTACGTGTAGTACGAGATCAAGCGAAAAATAGTAAAATGCTAGAGAGCATGCACTTATCATCTCTATTTTTTCAAACAATTCTTTTAAATTTTTGGCTCGGTAAAACCGTCCTAACCAATTGAAATTCAAGTGTTCTAAGGCTTCTCAAGATAACACAACAATCCTAACGAAAGACAGACAGAGACTTGTTAGAGGATTTTCTGTTATGAACTATAACAGAAAAAAACTTAACTAAAAATCACAAAAGATTATGGATTTGGATAGAACAACAATTCTGATGTAATAAGAACCTTTGAGTTTTTGAGGAGGTACAAATTAATATCTCTGTTTCTCTCTGGTCAATCATGGTATTTAGATTGTAAACCAAAGCGGATTGAGACTTTTTCATAACGCCAGATCAAAACCAAACCGAAAAATACACGAGAGAAGAAAAAGAAAAGGAGGAAAAAACAGAATAACACATCTGCTAGGCATTTCATCGAACACTTTGAGTGCAAATCAGAAAAAACTAAACGGGGCCTTCACTGATCTGACCAAGATTCTCTTCTTCTTGTCTCCTCTTCATTTCCTTCTCGTATTGCCTTAACGATTCCTCCATCCTCATCTGCGTAGAACCCAAGTGTAAAAGAAAAATACAAAACCAGCACAGTCTAATAGTCTATGATCAAGGACAAGCTTTCTCAGAGGAAGAACAGATAAAAGAAGAAGAAGCTGACCTTGTAGCTCACTTCGATGCGATGCATTACGTAGAATCCGAGAGTCCCGCCGAGAAGTGTTCCAGCTATGATCCGTGCGTAACCCCATGTCATCGAGCTCAACGCCATTTCCTCGCTTTCTTCTCTTCTTCCTTTGCCTCAGACTCGACTAAATTCCAGTTTTCAACTCTCTAATCTCCAAACTTTAGATCTCCTTTTCAATTTTCGTTTACCGAAATCAAATACGAACCGTACCAATTGATTCGATTCGCTCCTTTACGGTTCGGAATTTTTCTTACCCATCAAACCCAGCTCATATCCGGTTCGGTTCGATTCAGATCTATAGAAGGAGTAATAAAATGGGTGGGGGAAAATGAAACAATTTTGGAAGCAAAAGAAGATTCTGATTATAAAATCTCACTTTCAATTACGCTCGAAGAAGTCGGTATGATATCGTAATAACCGAATAAATTCGGTTCGGTATAATTGTAGACAATTATTCATTGGTACGCAAAAATATAAGCCTTCAACCGTTCGGTTCAAAGAAAAATTCAGAAACAAGTGCCAAGTGATCGCTTCCCAATTCCTGCAAAAACAAAGACGAACAAGACTAAAGCATTAGACATTCGTTAGTAACAAAACCAATTTGGTTTTTCACCAAACTTATAACTGTTTATGAAAAACATACTTGACAAGGAAGGCCTTTGGTTTTACATAAAACATCGATGGGGAGTGTATCAAGAACTCTTGCTGGTACAAGACCATCAGAATACCTGAACCAACACACATATGTGTTTCCAATTAAATTCATCAGCCAACTGTTACATACATTTGTCAATTCGAATTTGGTTTCATTTACAATTTCCTTTTTTTTACCAGATGTAATCAACCGTTCCAAGAAATTTTGAGTGGTAAGAGGTTGCTAGAGGTTCACCAACAGAGTCTCTTGTATTTGTTGAGCCCTGTCGTGTACCAATGACCATGATTTAAAGACTGTTTACTTTACTATTTCTTGTCATGTACAAAGAGTAAAGCTTTGTCTGTGTGTATTACCTTAACTGATGCATATGAGCTATGGAGTTTCAACGGATGCACAGCCCAGTACGAGTTCTCTTGCCCGGTCGCAACACGGATCTCTTCGTTGGTCCACGAGCTACTTAAGCATCTGAAACCAGTAATATCGAAAACTTTTTACTTATAATACCTCAAGTTATGAGACAAAAAACCTCAACCACAGGTGGTGAAACACAATGATATTTCACCAGGCAGTCACTAAACAACCCTTAACTTGCAGAGCCTGATCAGATCTTTAAAAGTAATCTTACCTGCTTATGGGAGTTATTGTATTACTAGATATGCTTCCGGTCTCAAGAACTTGGTCTGGATGACAGTTTTTCTGGCCAGACAGCTCTCTTTTGTCATGTTTCATGATATTCAGCTGTAAGATAGAAAGAAAATCCGACTTAAGGAAACCATAAACGGACAGATGCGTACTTTGACTGAAACAAGACTGTAAATGATCATACCTCAGAAGACACCAAGAAGTTGTACAATGGACTCTGCACGTGAATCAAATATTGAGATAAACAAGATTACACAATACCAAAGTGAATGCGTGTATTTGAAAAAAAAAATGTACCTGGGGTGTGATATTGAAATCTCCGCCTAGAACAATGGGAATATCACCCCATTTCTTAGAGAGCAAGTGAGCCTTTGAGCAGAGGGAACGGATCTATTATAATCAAGAATAAGCCATACGAACAATTTAGGTGGAAAACACACAGAGCTATAATTCACGTTGTCATGTGCATTTGGACAGAATACTTAGTGACTTAGACATGTGGGACACATGCTAATGAACATCTCTTGGCTGAGTTTCGGTACGTTTTCACTAGTTTAACAAACCATGGAAAAGAAACAGGAGAAATCACGAATAAGCTCAATAGTCCTGATGAAGTATTGACATCAGAGCCACAGGGACCAATCAACATTTTGTAAATCTCCATGAATGTTACCAATTGTTCATGTAGTGCATGTACCGAATAAAATATCGACACTTACCTGACTCAGCTTCACGTCTCCTCTACTTGGATTATAGAGCACGTGAATGTTACCAACCAGTAGCTTTCTTGACTTAGACTTCAGCAGCTGACAGAAAACCCCCCAAAACAACACTTGATCAATCATGAAAAACACACCTAATATATGAACTTGATAAAACATTAAAAAAAAAAAAAAAAAACAGAATTGCAACCTCGAGAACAGAAAGTTGTGCAACATTATCACGCATCCCAAACTGGCTAAACTCAATGTTCTCCCTCTCCAAAACCCGAAACCTTGTCAAAAGAACGTACATCTTTAAGGAATACAATGTTGATATTGTCGTTTTTTCTTCACACTAATCAATCATACAGGTTTGAGTGAAGTAATAATTGCAACCTGTCGGCCTTCCAGAACATGGCGCACCCATCAATGTTATCTCCAGTTCGCCGCTGCCATTGCAAAGCTTATATTTCTAGTCCTTCTATATAAACAAAAATTCCCTGACGCTTCAAACCAAATAAATGAAACCAACCAATATTGTTCTTACATGTTTCATTTTTATCATTGACATGGTACAAATTGTAATACACCAACCTTGTAGGAGCCAGCATATCCAGCTTTCTCCATCATGCTGAATAGATCGAAATACTTATCAACTTCCTACAATGATCCGCAAACAAAATCAACATACTGTAACTCTCTTAACTATCAACCCAAACAAAACAAAGTCTACATTACCTGTATACAGATTATGTCTGGCTTGAGACGAATCATTTCCTCGCATATCAACCTTTTGCGGTAGCCCCACTTCAGGTAAGGAAAAGACACATTCGAGTACAAATCTCTGTGATATGATGAGTTCCTATCTCCCAGTATGTTGTACGACACTACAGTGAATCTCTCTGAAGCTAATATCACATAGAGACACTAGTAAGAACAAAGACAAAGTGTCCCATGACGGGCCATGAGAAATTAAAAAAAATCCGATTTCATCCCCAGAGATTGGTTCTTCGATTACTAAATTCCATAAGATCATCATTACCTTCGGAAACTGTAGATGAATCTGAATCGATCCAGTCACGAGCAATCCGAGAAGTCGGCATTTGGTCGGGATGTCGGCGACGAGGAAGGGGGTTGTGCCATCGACGGCTGTAAGAGCGAGTTGAAGATGATTCGAGATTCGAATCGGACGGTTCAGATGTGGAAGAGCAACACACGACGAGGCTCGCATCGCAGGAGGACCAGAGAGATAGAGACGATGTAGGACAGCGATGAAACCCAGACGGAGAGTGACCGGCGAAGGAGATTCGGAAAGCTCCGCTTGGCCGTGACCAAGAACAACCGACGCTACGCATTTGATTTTGTGGGAGATTTTAATTTTGGAAAAGAAATCGAAAACCACACACACTACCACTTGGCGCCATATGGATAATGTGTTTTTTTCCAAGTTTCTTCTCTATCATATACAAACGAATCGTATATTTTTCTACTCTCCGACGGCCCATTATCAGGCCCATAATATATAAATTGTTATACCCGTTTACGGATTTACTTTACTTTTAATTTTCTTTCTAAAACAGGTTAGTCAACGAAGAAAAGTGAAAACAGTCTAATTATCATTGCAGATATTCTCCAAATATTTCGTAATTTATTAAAGACTAAATTTTACCGTAACTATTCAGCATTTGGCGTTTACCGTGTGTGAGAAAACAAAAACAAATCAAATACTTCTTTTTTGTTTGTCAACAAAACAAATAAAAGACTACCTACTATTTACATATTATATAATATTTACATGCATACTAATTTTTCCTAGCATGCCTAGTATAATGGCACAGACGGCCTTTCTCAAGTTTCAATTATACTGTCTGATCGTTAAAAACTCTATTATTGCGTCTACATTGTAATGTTCTTAAAAGTTTTATTACGAAAAAATAATATGAAAGGGATCTTACAAAAAGAAAATAATTTAATGAGGTATAAGTTAAGGATAAAACTGTTACTTAATTTCATCTCTAATTTAATATGCGTAATCTTATATAGGGAAAAAGTACAGTGGGTGTAGAAAATGAATATAATAAGATGAAAAAACAAAAGAGAAATAAATGAAACGCAACAACCAAGGGCAAAAGGGTGCGTTACCATTAATTCAGGGAAAGCGAAATAAACCCAAAGCTCGTCTAACCATGCAACAACTTACCAACTTCTCATTAATTACCATTTTAACCTAATCTAGAGTCTCCATCTCACTTAATACCCAAAGCATTCAATTTTTAATTACCGCGTAAACTAATTGAATTCTTAGTAGTGTGTCTACATCAAGAAAACCATAGATGGTTAATGATTTCATAGAAGAAATCAAGTGTCCGCAATAGCTGTAACTATTACTAAAAGATAGTACCGCATAGTTACACACGTAATCACGCATCTCTAGGATGTTAATAATGGATAATCGTTTCTAGCAGTAAGAAACTAGAAAGGTGACTTACGTGTGTAACTATTACTACCTACCAAGTTTGTAGTAAAACTAGCAGCTACATGTCCGTACACTAAGTTGTAATTTTTGTCTGTTACTATATACCAAGTACAATTCTTCTTTCGACGGCATGAAAAGTTTCACTCGCGATACGTGGAGAAATACTACTATGTTGGGATCATATCATATGATAACATTGATACGTATAATTATATATAATAGGTGTTTCTCCGCACTTTATACTGAGTTCAATATTTTTTTAAAAAAATATAATATTAATTTATTTATAGATAAAAAATCAGATTTTATAATGATTCAAAACTAAATTTAATATATTTGAAAAATATAATTTTTATAAGTATATTGTTTTTTTATGACAAAAAAATATATTATTCATATTTTATTTTCTAATATCTTTTATATTATCCGATAAAAACTTATATGTATGTTTTGTTGTTTTATTTTATTTATCAAACATGATAAATAATTCTCTTCTTTTTATATAAATTGGTAGATTAAGATTAATAAAATTCAAACTTTGTATAGGAAAAAAACATAGCAATCCAAAATGACAAAATCAAAAGATCTTTGTTTCATATCAACTTATCATTAATTAATATATATATAGTTTTAAAAGAGTTTAAATGATTTAGGGTTTTACTTATAATCGCATAAATCAATTAGGTTAGTCAAAAATATAAGTAGGTTAAATAATTAAATTAAAATTAGTTTAATAAAATAATTAGAAATTTTTATTTATTTATGCTAGTTATCTTTTTTAGTAAACTGAATATTTTTATGATATAAACTCGAATTTAAAAATTTATATTTTAAAAAAATGAAAATCAATTAAAAATTAAATTATATTAATTTGTTAATTTTATTAAGGATAATTAAAAAAATTCACGTAATAAGTAATAAAGAGTAAAAAATAATCAATCATTATAACTCTTAACCACAATCCAACTTGTTTCTTAATTAATAATATTATATATATATTACTTATAAGAACTTAAATTTTATTTTTGAATAGAATATTACAAAGTTTTGATAGAAGTGATAATGTGAATCCAAAATATTTAACAGGATGATAATTATTGATGTAACTTTTAATAACGACAGCAATTCTGGCGTGACTCTCTCTGCAACTTTATTTATTTTCCTCCATATAACTAACACATTTGTTCCTCTTATCCTCTTCCACTTACTACTACTCATCATCGCCTTCGCCGGAAACAATGGCTTTCGCGCGATTTTTGGTTCTCCTCTCCGTCGCCAGTCTCTCTCTTCTCCTCATCACGACCGATGCTTCCTCTCGCTCTCTATCCACGTCACATGAAACGACTCTGCTCGACGTCGCTTCATCTCTCCAGCAAACACAACACATCCTCTCAGTCGACCCGACTCGTTCCTCACTCACCACCACAAGAACCGAGTTCGAATCCGAATCCGTCCCGGTGTTCCTCAATTCCTCTTCTCCACTATCTCTAGAGCTTCACTCCCGAGACACTCTCGTCGCTTCTCAGCACAAGGACTACAAGAGCCTAGTACTGAGCCGACTCGAACGCGACTCATCCCGAGTCGCCAGAATCACCACCAAACTCCGATTCGCCGTCGAAGGAGTTGACAGATCCGATCTCAAACCCGTTAACAACGAGGAAACCCGATACCAACCAGAGGATCTAGCGACACCTGTCGTCTCCGGAGCTAGCCAAGGAAGCGGCGAGTATTTCTCACGGATTGGAGTCGGAACTCCGGCGAGTGAGATGTACGTGGTGCTCGACACCGGAAGCGACATCAATTGGATCCAGTGCAAACCTTGCTCCGAGTGTTACCAACAATCCGACCCGATATTCGACCCGGCTTCGTCTTCCACATACAAATCGCTCGCTTGCTCTGCTCCACAGTGCGGCTCTCTCGATACCTCCGCTTGCCGCTCGAACAAATGTCTCTACCAAGTTAGTTACGGCGACGGTTCTTTCACCATCGGAGAGTACGCGACCGATACGGTGACGTTTGGCAGCTCCGGGAAGGTAGACAACGTCGCTTTGGGGTGCGGTCACGATAACGAAGGTTTGTTCACTGGAGCAGCCGGTTTACTCGGTTTAGGCGGTGGAGCTTTGTCTATGACGAATCAGATCAAAGCGACGTCGTTTTCTTATTGCCTCGTTGATCGTGACTCCAGTAAATCGTCGAGCCTCGATTTCAACTCGGTCCAAATCGGCACCGGAGACGCGACGGCTCCGCTTATCCGTAACGGCAAGATCGACACTTTCTACTACCTCGGGCTCAGCGGATTCAGCGTCGGTGGTCAGCAGGTCGATATCCCGTCGTCGGTGTTCACGATAGACGAGTCGGGAGCCGGAGGAGTGATCTTGGATTGTGGAACCGCCGTGACTCGTCTTCAGACTGTGGCCTATAACGCGCTGCGCGACGCGTTCGTTAAACTCACGGCGAATCTCAAAAGGGGAACATCGAGCATCTCTCTCTTCGACACTTGCTACGATTTCTCGTCTCTCTCCACCGTGAAAGTCCCGACGGTCGCGTTTCATTTCACCGGCGGGAAATCGCTAGATTTGCCGGCGAAAAACTACTTGATCCCTATCGATAACGCCGGAACGTTCTGCTTCGCTTTTGCTCCGACGTCGAATTCGTTGTCGATCATCGGGAATGTGCAGCAGCAAGGGACACGTATCACTTACGATCTAGGGAAGAATCTTATCGGGTTGTCAGCGAATAAATGCTAAAAGTGGATGATTAATAATAGTTTTACAGTTAAAAACTGAAGTGTGAATTTTTCTTTATCTTCTTAATTAATTAATAATCAAAAGTTATTTTCGACTTTTATCGATTAAGTTTAATTATTAATATAAAATTGAAAATATTGTTGACTAAGCGGGAGATTTCTAGTTATTGCGTTTGTGAGATGAACAATAGTCAAAACAGTACCTCAAAAAGTATTAATGTTGATTTTTTTTTTTGTAACATCTAGATATTATTGATAATTTGTAACAGAGAAATCGCAATGTAAAGCATCCGTTATAAAATTTGCTACATAAAAGTAGGGACTTGGTGAAGTAAACTAAAAGAAAAGTCTTCGATAGTTGGGGCCTATGAAACTGTTGTCTGAATCTCCCAACTGTGTGAATCAATCAATGTGAAATTAAAGTTTCTTCTCTTTGACCCAAATGTGAAAAAGTTAAGTCAGGGTAGAAAATTTGCCTTTCCCACAATCACGTTCAAAAATACTTACATGGAACTGTGAGCGAATCGGATAATCTTTCTAGTCCCTGGATTGTCGATTAAAATAGTGAAGACACCATGTCCATCCACACATTAATTACGGAAGAAATTACAGAAAATCATGGATGTTTATGTCATTATTTGCGTAAGCTTTTACATGCATGGAGCCACGTCTTGGAGTCGAGGTGGACTTTAGGGTGTTTACTTAGCTTAGCCATATAAAGTCTCGAAGGAATCAGTTGGTTTCAGTGTTTCGTCATTAAAGTCCCGGCTGATTCTCTCAAAGATTTCACGAAAGTTCAGATTCGAATTATTAATTTTTCTTAAATTTATCGTTAAATTACAAGATTTTCAATAAATTTTTGAACTTCAAACAAAAATTACCAATTGACGTAGTGGCGTTGAGGGTAATGAATGATGATAGTCTAGGTGAGGTAAGAATCACATGCAAGAGTGGCCATTTCATTATCATTATGCTTCTTTTACCCAACGCCAAATGAATGCTGCCTACGCAATTTCTGTGTTAATTTTTTTATTTTTAAATAATCATATTCTACGGCATAACTTCTGATGGAGCAGCTAAAGCGAAACAATACGAATAAAGTCTTCGGGTATTAATAGATTATAAAGAAACACTCGTAGCTTGGAATTCTTGTGTTGAGTATCAATGGATCTTGAGAAACAGAGAATTCAAAGACTTTAATCAAAAGCTTCTCGAAGATCAATGGATTTCGATAA